TAGCCATCCAATTGATAGGAAATCCTAACGAGGATTTCCGTTATCTGCAACTGCAATCGTCGCCATTTATCCATTTGAGCTATTTATCCATTTGAAATTTGTTTAATCCGTTTAGGGTTTCGTTTAGATCGAACATTGTAGCTATTTTAGGTTTTATAATCAACAATGATTATTAAAACAATAATAAGAGTCTATTTGAATATGATTTTTCAGACATCAATGAGGGGTGGTGAACATTACATTTTTGCAGTTATATTGTAATGTTTTGCCTATATACTGATAATATCTATATCGGAATTTTAACCAAAATTTCAAATACAATGTTATCTGTTTTTTATCCCTTATTGTTGTTATTGAATAATAAAAAAAATTGATTTTATTTTTATCGTTATGCACAATGTATTTTATCATTTATTCATTACAATATGTTGTTCATTAGCATCACAATTAGATTTATCTCGATATTTGATATGTCACATCGAGATTCGATATTGATAACATTATAGTTATTTCAACAATACTTTTATAATTGATCGAAACAGGATATTAACAAGAGAACAGAAAGAGAGTAAAAAGTTTAATCCATTTGACACGTACCTAAAATTATTTCCAACCGCGACAAATGAACCAATCCAATTATCGAATAAGTATAGTTTTTGTGAAAAAATGCATGTCCAAATACAATCCATAAATGACACGAACATCAATGCTTGTTGTGAGATTTATGTACAGACATGAGAAAAATCATCATTCATTTCATCGTTACGCCTAAAATCAAACTTAATGTATACGAAACTGAATGAGTATACGAATATTGACGAAAACGTAATCTTAAATAATCATACGAACGCGTAATTATAATTGACAATGGAGAGATTTGTGAAGAATTTGGCCGAGAATCGAAAATTCGATCAGCATGTTTGCGAATTTAGAACCTCGAACACCTCCGTCACCTTTCGCCGAAAATCCAAGCTATTTATAAAAGGTTTTCAATTAGTATTAATTTCCCATTCCCCCCCCTATTTAAAGACACATGATTTTAAATAGAAATGTTAATTGTCCATTTTCTCTTGCACGATGCCAGACTCCTTCCAACCACATTGAAGTAAAGGGCAGTTATCCATAAAAAATTGTAATAATGTCGCATTTTTGTCTGTGTAGAATTTAATTTGAGTCGAGTTCATTAGAGATTTTGAATAACCTAACTATATGTCAAAATCTCTCAAATAATGTAACGTGTATCTATTTATTTTGTATCTATTTGTTTGGTGCTATGTTGGAAGTTATGTGAGCTACCTCAATTTTAACGATATAACGGAATTTTTATACTGAATTTTCGGAGATTGTTTTGCATATGTGAAAATATTTTGAATACATAGTGATAATTAATATCACATATATGTTATAAAATTAAAAAGTAATATGCGCGAATTTAAAAGCAACATAAGTCAAAATTTATATTAATTTTTTCAAAAACAATGAATTATCAATATTTAATGGTATATTTTTTTAAAGCATAATAAATTATCACTGTATATTCAAACAATAGACACTTTACGCTGACGGTCAGTCGTATTAATAATAATTAATTAGCGGTTGATTCCAACTAGTAAGAGCACGGTATAATAGTAACCGCTGCGGGAAATACCCCTAGATGTTGAACATCGTTTGGGTTCGAGGTTGGGCGCGTAGCATTATCGTGTTTAGCTCGGGGTGGGATTATGGTGGTGGTGGCTGGTGGTAACGTTGGTGTGGTGGTGGTTGCAGATCACGGGCTTGATGAGGCAGAGGGCGCGGCTTACCACCACCACCACAGCCATCACCAGCAACATCATCGGCATCGTCATCATCATCCACTATCCGTCCCTCCTCCTCACCACCGTCATCAGGCGCAACTGGAAGACGACACATCAGTTAATCAGTCTTCCACGGCCACCACGATCACGACGACCATCAAATATGAACGTGGCCAACCGGACTTCAGGCAGCAGAGATTATTGCGGGAGCACCATCGACAACATGGTTACAGGTGTCCCCTCTGCTGTAGGACATTGCATGATATCAGTGCTATGAGGGCGCACTTGGATCATCATTATCCCAGAGATTCACCCACTTGTCCCGTTGCCTCCTGCGCCAAAACCTTCTCCCATCCCAACAGTGTCAGGAACCATATGCGACTGAAGCATCCTGTAGAATGGGACCAGATTAAGACTTTGAGGTGGACCTATGTCTGATGAACAAGCGAAGATCAGTATAACTCTGATCGCATGTCGTAACTTTAATCTTTCTCACAAATATTTTACCAAAGAAACTTTGTTTTTTATTTTCTGGTGTGGCCCTATATTTCTTTGTATGTTACTGAGCGGCGATAATAAGTAATAATTTATTAGACTTTTTACTTGGAGACTTTTTAGTTGGAAATTGCTGTTAGCATTATTATACAATAGCAGAAATGATGAATATAGACCTAAACGATTTAATG